AAAAAATAAAAATAAATATATGAGCCAGGGGTTGTGGCTGACGCCGGTAATCCCAGCACTTTGGAAGGCCGTGGCAGGAGGATCACTTGAGGCCAGGAGTTTGAGAGCACACTGAGCAACATGATCAGATCCCATCTCTACAAAATACATTTTTTTAAAAATTAGCCACACATGGTGGCACACACCTGTAGTTCTAGATACTTAGGAGGATCGCTTGAGCCCAAGAGGTAACGGTTACAGTAAGCAATGATCACGCCACTGCACTCCAGGGTGGGCAACAGACTGAGACCCTCTCTCTTAAAAAAAAAAAAAAAAAATTAATAATAATAATAGTCCAGGCACAGGGGCTCATGCCTGTAATCCTAGAACAAACTCTGAGAGGCCAAAGCAGATGGCTGGCTTGAGCTCAGAAGTTTGGAACCAGCCTGGCCAACATGGTGAAATACCATTTCTAAAAAAATATACAAAAATTAGCTGGGCGTGGTAGCATGTGCCTGTAGTCCCAGCTACTTGGGAGGCTGAGGTGGGAAGGTCACTTGAGCCCGGGAGGGTGCACTGAGCTATAATTGATCACACCACTGCACTCAAGCCTGAGTAACAGAGCAAGACCCTGTCAAAAAACAACAACAAAAAAATTAAAGCCAGGCGTGGTGGCTCACACTTGTATCTCAGAACTTTGGGAGGCCAAGGCGGGCAGAATACATGAGGCCAGCAGTTCGAGACCAGTCTGGCCAACATGGTGAAACCCCGTCTCTACTAAAATACAAAAAAAAAAAAAAAAATTAGCCGGGCATGGTGGCGGGCACCTGTAATCCCAGCTACTCAGGAGGCTGAGGCAGGAGAATTGCTTAAACCCGAGAGGTGGAGGTTGCAGTGAGCCAAGATCACGCCACTACACTCCAGCGTGGGCGACAGAGCGTGACTCCCTCTCAAAGAAAAAAAAAATTAAATTAATAATAATAATAAAGGCTATGAGAACATGGACTTCGTCTGTGCCATTTCCTGCTATGCCATTTCCTGCTATATCTGCAGCACCTACAAATAGCAGCACCTGGCATGCAGAATAGACTCCCTAAGTATTTGTTAGACAAATGAGTGCGCTTTACCTTACTGAATCCTTCTACACAACTGAATCCTCCTACACATCCTATAACGTAGGTATATGGTCCTATAAAGCAGGTATTAGGTTCTCTCTTGATTTGGGGAATACTGTAGGTTTTGCTTTTCTCATATTTTCCTGTGTTTTCCAAACTAACATGTATTACCTTTATAATCAAGGAAAACAATAAAATGAACTGTGCCTTTTTTTACCTCAAAATCTGCTCCTGACAAGCAGCAATTCGCTTCATGAATTTGTAAAACGTCTGATCTCCACTTTTAATTACGGTTTTCTCATATTTTTCATCACCATCATTAGAAAGACTAAAAACAGAAGCAGAAAACACTTGTGAATGTCTATATCCAGAAAATTACAGAATTTGCAAGAGGAAACAAGATAATTTTCTTTTAAAAAAATTTATCAGGCCAGGTGCGGTGGCTAACACCTGTAATCCCAGCACTTTGGGAGGCCAAGGCAGGCAGATCACAAGGTCAGGAGATCGAGACCATCCTGGCCAACATGGTGGAACCCCATCTCTACTAAAAAACACAAAAAATTGGCTGGGCGTGGTGGCTCAAGCCTGTAATCCCAGCACTTGAGCCACCGCGCCCGGCCTCCCAAGCTATTTTCAACTCTTGGGTAATTACTTACAATTTAAAAAATCGCAGGGCACAGTGGCTCACACCTGTAATCTCAACACTTTGGAAGGCCAAGGAGGGTGGATCACAAGGTCAAAAGATCGAGACCACCCTGGCCATATATATATATATATATATATATATATTTTTTTTTTTTTTTTTTTTTTTTTTTTTTTTTTGAGACGGAGTCTCGCTCTGTAGCCCAGGCTGGAGTGCAGTGGCCGGATCTCAGCTCACTGCAAGCTCCGCCTCCCGGGTCCACGCCATTCTCCTGCCTCAGCCTCCCGAGTAGCTGGGACTACAGGCGCCCGCCACCTCGCCCGGCTAGTTTTTTATATTTCTTAGTAGAGACGGGGTTTCACCGTGTTAGCCAGGATGGTCTCGATCGCCTGACCTCGTGATCCACCCGTCTCGGCCTCCCAAAGTGCTGGGATTACAGGCTTGAGCCACCGCGCCCGGCCTATATATATATATATATATATATATATATTTTTTTTTTTTTTTCGGCTGGGTGCAGTGGCTCAGGCCTGCGATCCCAGCACTTTGGGAGGCCAAGGAAAATGGGTCACTTGAGGTTAGGAGTTTGAGACCAGCCTGGCCAACATGGTAAAGCCCCATCTCTACTAAAAATATAAAAATTAGCCGAGTATGGTGGTGGGTACCTGTAATCCCAGCTATTTGGGAGGCTGAGGCAGGAGGATCACTTGAACCTGGGAGCTGGAGGTTGCAGTGAGCCGTTATCACGCCACTGTACTCCAGCCTGGGCGACAAAGTGAGACTCTGTCTCAAAAAATAAAAAATAAAAATTGGCTGGGCGCGGTGGCTCACGCCTGTAATCTCAGCATTTTGGGAGGCCGAGGCGGGTGGATCACGAGGTCAGGAGAGCAAGACCATCCTGGCTAACACGGTGAAACTCCGTCTCTACCAAAACTACAAAAAATTAGCCAGGCATGGTGGCGAGTGCCTGTAGTCCGAGCTACTCAGGAGGCTGAGGCAGGAGAATGGCGTGAACCCAGGAGGCAGAGCTTGCAATGAGCTGAGATCGCACCACTGCACTCCAGCCTGGGCGATAGAGCGAGACTCCATCTCAAAAAAAAAAAAAAAATTTTTTTTAAATTAGCTGAGTTTGGTGGCACACACCTGTGGTCCCAGCTACGGGGGAAGCTGAGGCCAGAGGATCCCTTGAGGCCAGGAGTTTGAGGCTACAGTAAGCCATGAGCAGGCTGGGCGCGGTGGCTAACACCTGTAATCCCCGGCACGTTGGGAGGTCGAGGTGGGTGGATCGCTTGGGGCCAGAACTTCAAGAAAAGCCTGGGCAATATGGCAAAAGCCCATCTCTACTAAAAAGAAAATACAAAAATTAGCTGGGTGAAGTGGCACACGCCTGTGGTTCCAGCTACTCGAGAGGCTGAGGCATGAGAATTGCTTAAGCCTGCAAGGCAGAGGTTGCAGTGAGCCAAGAACGTGCTACTGCACTCCAGCCTGGGCAACAGAGCAAGACTGTCTCAAAAAAAAAAAAAAAAGCCATGACCACACCACACCACTGCAGTTCAGCCTGGGAAACAAGGCAAGTTTCCATCTCTAAAAAAAAAAAAAAAAAAGACAAATACTCTAGAAGAAACCCACCAAAAATAAGCAAATACATAAAAACTTAAGAAATTAAAAAATAAAAAATCTTGCCAGGCGCAGTGGCTCACACCTGTAATCTCAGCACTTTGGGAGGCCGAGGCAGGCAGATCACATCATCAAGAGATTGAGACCATCCTGGCCAACATGATGAAACCCTGTCTCTACTAATAATACAAAAATTAGCTGGGTGTGGTGGCGCGCACCTGTAGTCTCAAATACTTGGGAGGCTGAGGGTGGAAAATTGCTGGAACCCGGGAGGTGGAGGTTGGAGTGAGCCAGGATCGCACCACTGCACTCCAGCCTGGCAACAGAGTGAGAGTCCATCTCACAAAAAATAAATAGATAAATAAATAAATAAATAAATAAATAAATAAAAAATTAAAAGTCCTTATAACCATCAGTTCTATTAAGTGTTATTTTCAAACACCAACATGTCTTCATGCACTCCCCTTCATCATTATTCTGAAAAAGCCTACAAATGAAACAGTTCTGGTAAAGAACCAGGCCATTTCTCCGAACATTCTATTGTAATTTTTTTATTCTAATAGTAACAAATGCTGGGTGCAGTGGCTAAAAAAAATTTTTAGTCCAGGCGCAATGGCTCACACCTGTAATCCCAGCACTTTGGGAGGCTAAGGTGGGTGGATCACCTAAGTTCAGGAGTTTGAGACCAGTCTGACCAACATAGTGAAACCCCATCTCTACTAAAAATACAAAAATTAGCTGGGCATGGTGGCACATGGCTGTAATCCCAGCTACTCAGGAGGCTGAGGTAGGAGAATCACTTAAACCCGAGAGGCAGAGGTTGCAGTGAGCCGAGATCATGCCATTGTACTCTAGCCTGGGCAACAACAGTGAAACTCCAAAAAAAAAAAATTTTAATTGGTCAGACATGGTAGCGTGCACCCGTACTCCCAGCTACTTGGGAAGCTAAGGTAGACTGCCTGAGCCCAGGAGTTCAAGGCTGCGTGAGCTGTGATCACAGCAATTAACTCCAGCGTGGGTGACAGAGTGAGACCCTGTCTCTCTCAATCAATCAATAAGCAAAAATGATCATTCTTACTTCTTTAGAGAGCTTTGGTTTATAAAGCCTTTCAAGATCTACTCTCTCGTTTGACTCTCAAAATCATGTGATGAAACAGAGAACAGAAATAGCACTATCACTCTCACTTTACAGAATTCAGGATCTGAAAGCATCTCCGAGGTCCTGGGCCAGTTCTGGAGCCACAGCCAAGAGTCAATAAACAAATGGCATTTTTCTTTTCCTTTTTCCATTTTTTCACCCCAATCTTATTATCCCAGATCAAATGGCAGTTTTCTAACTTGCCTGTCTCTGCTATAAAGACATATTAGAAATATAAAAGAAAGTTAGAGTCAGTGAACGCATCTTCTATAAATACTTGCCATCTCTAACTTCTGTTTGTTCATCTTTGTTCACTGTCTTAACGGGAGTTATAAATAGAGCAGGGTTTTCAAGCTAACTCAAGTTGGCTAATAAGGAAGTAAAGTGAAAAGGTCCTACATACAAGTTCTGCCTGAAAGTTTCCCCAGGTCCTGTGGTGAAACTGAAGGGTAACTCCTGTGGCTGCTTCCCAATCCAGTCACCTCTCAACCTCAGGAGCACACATCCTCACCTTTGGGAAAGCAACTGATCCATGGCAATGCCTTCTCTCTGCTGATAGTCCCTCAGAAGGCTGTGGGCATGATCCAGGTTGACAAAGTCTATGTATTCATCCTCGTCTGCAACACAGATGTAGTAGGGCAGGAATAGCGGCAGCCCAGGAGACAAGGCGGTCTGCTCCCCAGGAGGCACAGGATGGGCAGCACCCAGGACAGCATCCTGCAGGCGGAGGTCTTGGAGCCGAGCAGTCCAGTCTACGTCTTTGGCACTGCTGGCATCATTCCCAAAATCCAAGGTAAGCTGTGGTGAAGGCGCCTCCTCAGTGTCACTTCCCCAGTCATCAGCACCTTCACACCAGTCCTCAGCTGCAAGGCTGTTTTCCTGTGTCTGGAAAAATATTCAGTGAATGAGGTCCGAGCACATTTGGGAGGTTTATTCCATTACTTCGGTTCCAGCCACCCATCCCTGTGCCTTCCAGAGGGAGCCTTCACACCAGCCCCTTCCCCTCTGGCACACTCCAATCAAACTTTCTAGACTTTATGTACTCAAAAGTATGTTGAAGGAAACTTAAAATACTTGTCTTTCCTTTTCAGGGTGTGGGGAAAAGAGAGATCAGCTTGTTACTGTGTCTATATAGAAGGAAGCAGACATAAGAGACTCCATTTTGTTCTGTATTTGAGATGCTGTTAATCAGTGACTCTACCCCCAACCTTGTCCTTGCAAGAGACATGTGCTGTGGTGACTCAAGGTTTAAAGGATTTTAGACTGTGCAGGATGTGCTTTGTTAAACAAGTGCCTGAAGGCAGCTTGCTGGTTAAAAGTCATCACCATTCTCTTAATCTAAAGTAAGAGAAAAGCATGTGTCTCCTCCCCGTCCCTGGGCAATGGAACATCTCGGTGTAAAACCCGATTGCATACTCTGTTTACTGAGATAGGAGAAAACCGCCTTACGGCAAAAAGTGGGACTTGCTGGCGCAATGCTGCTAAAAAGTTTGTGGAGATGTTTGCATATGCATATCAAGGCATAGCATTTTTCTTTAAACTTATTCATGTCACAGGGATCTTTGTTCATATGTCTTACTGCTGATTTTCTCCCTACAATGATCTATTTGTCCTGCCACTCCCTTATCTTTAAGAATGGTAAAGATAATTATCAATAAATACTAAAGGAACTCAGAGACCAGTGCTGCCATGGGTCCTCTGTATGCTGAGCGCTGGTCCCCTGGGCCCTCTTTTTCTTTCTCTATACTTTGTCTCTGTGTCTCATTTCTTTTTTCAAGTCTCTCGTTGCACCTAACGAGAAACGCCCACACGTGTGGAGGGGCAGGCCACCCCTTCATGGGGCGAGTGTGACAGATATAGTACATGGTTTATTCAACCATCTGTTCCAATATCTTTCTGTTGTGCTTCATGTATTGCAAGAACTGAAAAGAAAGAACTACATTTCCCAGACTCCTTAGCACCTAGGGTTTCAGACTCCTTAGCACCTAGGGTTTCAGATATGATTAGGTGTCTGCTAATCAGGTCTACTAGAGAGAGACATGAACTTGAGACAGAGTGAAGTAGAAAGACAGACCACGTAGCAAAAGGCAGTCAGAGTGTAGACATACACAGAACAAGGTTTTAGAGCCAACAGTTCTGTGGTGAAGACAGCATCTAGTTCACCAGATCACACTTAAGCTTCCTGACAGCAGGAGAGGTGGCATAGCAGCTCCTTCAGGGACAGTTCTCAGGTGTGATTCTGGAGGGCATTCCTGGAGCCTCCTCCTTCAGCCTATCCACTTACTAAAAACCTGACTCCTGTGCTAAGTCTGTCTCAGCTTAAAAGCCAGGCGTGGTTGCACATGCCTGCAATCCCAGCTACTCGGGAGGCTGAGGCAGGAGAATAGCCTGAATCCAGGAGGCAGAGTTTTCAGTGAGCTGAGATCACGCCACTGCACTACAGCCTGGGAGACAGAGTGAGACTCGGTCTCAAAAACAAAAACAAACAAACAAACAAAACAGTACTTTTCTAATTATCTGCACTTGAACACTGACAAATATAGGCACTGTCTTCAACATTTTATTCGAGTACTGCTAGTACTATGCCTAGCAAACATCAAGAACTGGGTGCAGGCTGGGCCCAGTGTCTCATGCCTGTAATTCTAGCATTTTGGGAGGCTGAGGTGGGTGGACTGTTTGAGTCCAGGAGTTCAAGACCAGCCTGGGCAACATGACAAAACCCCATCTCTACAAAAAATAAAAAAGTTAACTGGACATGGTGGCAAGTGCCTGTAATCCCATCTACTCAGGAGGCTGAGGTGGGAGAATGGCTTGAGCCCAAGAGGCAAAGATCATGCTACTGCACTCCAGCCTGGGTGACCAGAATGAAACCCCATCTCAAAAAAAAAAAAAAAAAAAAAAGAAAAGAAAAGAAAAAAGAACTGTGTATATATAAAGATACATTTACAGTCAAAGGAGGCTAAATTTTGTTCTGCAGCTACCAACTTGCCTGCCTTTTCAATAAATTCAGAATTTCATCTTATGAAATGTGTTAAAACATATATATACCTCATAACGTATATTTACTATAAAGACATATATGTTATCACATACAACCACATATATGTACATCCCCATATATATTCCCAAACAGGAAAATCAGTAAACTGTATCTCAAGACCTTCAGTGTAAGTTTGAAAAAACTACTATATACACAACGGAATATTCTTCACCCTTAAAAAAAAAAAAAAGGAAGTTCTGTCGTTTGTGACAACATGGATAGAACTGGAGAACATTTTGCTAAGTGAAATAAGCCAGACACAAAGACAAATGCTGCATGTATTCACTTACATGTGGAATCTAAAACAATTAACCTCAAAGTAGAGTAGAATGGTGGTTAAAGAAATGTGGAGTGGCCGGGTGCGGTGGCTCACGCCTGTAATCCCAGCCCTTAGGAGGCCGAGGCAAGCGATCACGAGGTAAAGAGATTGACCATCCTGGCTACATGGTGAAACCCCGTCTCTACTAAAAATACAAAAATTAGCTGGGTGTGGTAGTGTGTGCCTGTAGTCCCAGATACTCAGGAGGCTGAGGCAGGAGAATCGCTTGAACCCGGGAGGCTGAGGCTGCAGTGAGCCGAGATCATGCCATTGCACTCCGGCCTGGCGAAAGAGCAAAACTCCATCTCAAAAAAAAAAAAAAAAAAAAAAATCTGGAGTGAGCGGGGCATGGTGGCTCATGCCTGTAATCTCAGCACTTTGGGAGGCCGACGAAGGTGGGTCACCTGAGGTCAGGAGTTCGAGACCAGCCTGGCCAACATGGTGAAACCCCGTCTCTACTAAAAATACAAAAATTAGCTAGGTGTGGTGGTAAGCGCCTGTAATCCCAGCTACTTGGGAGGCTGAGGCAGGAGAATCCCTTGAATCCAAGAGGTGGAGGTTGCAGTGAGCCGAGATTGTGCCATTGCACTCCAGCCTGGGCAACAAGAGTGAAACTTGGTCTCAAAAAAAAAAAAAAAGAAAGAAAGAAACCTAGAGTGGAAAGAATAAGGAGATGATGGTCAAAGAATACAAAACCTCAGTTATTCAGGAGGAATGTGGGTTTTTTTAAGTTCTACTGCACAGCTTGAATGTAGTTAATAATACAGTATTGTGACTGGGCATGGGAGTTCAAGCCTGTAATCCCAGCACTTTGGGAGGCCGAGGCGGGTAGATGACGAGGTCAGGAGATGGAGACCATCCTGACTTACATGGTGAAACCCTGTCTCTACTAAAAATTCAAAAAAAAAAAAAAAACCAATTAGCTGGCCGTGGTGGCGGGCGCCCATAATCCCAGCTACTTGGGAGGCTGAGGCAGGAGAATTGCTTGAAACCCAGGAGATGGAGCTTGCAGTGAGCAGAGATGGCACCACTGCACTCCAGCCTGGGCAACAGAGCAAGACTCCATCTCAAAAAAAATAAAAATATTTTGTATTTCCAAATTGCTAAAGGAAATTTCAAATGTTCTCACAAGACGTTAAGTATCTGAGGTGATGAATGCATTAACTGGCTTCATTTAATTATTCCACATGATATTCATGAATCATAACCATCACTTTATACCTCATAAATTTATACATTATTATAAACTATCAATTTACAGTTAAAAAAAAATGTTGAAGACATCCAGGAGGAAGTCTCCATCTCGCTCTCTTTTTTTTGGGAGGGGAGAGGGTCTGGCTTTGCCACCCAGGCTGAAGTGCAGTGGCACAAGTGTAGGTCACTGCAGCCTCAACCTCCTGGACTCAAGCAATCCTCCCACCTCAGCCGCCTGAGCAGCTGGCACTACAGTTGCGCGGCCATCATGCCCAGTTAATTTTTTTTACTTTTTATAGAGAGGACGTTTTGCTATGTTGCCCAGACTGCTCTCCCAACATCTTTTTTTTTTATACGGAGTCTGTTATTCAGGCTGGATTGCAGTGGCATGATCTCAGCTCACTGCAATCTCCACCTCCCGGGTTCAAGCGATTCTCCTGCCTCAACCTCCCTTGTAGCTGGGATTACAGGTGCCTGCCACGATGCCCGGCTAATTTTTTGTTTTTGTTTTTAAAAGAGATGGGGTTTCATCATGTTGGCCAGGCTGGTCTCGAACTTCTGACCTCTGATGGTCCGCCCGCCTCGGCCTCCCAAAGTGCTGGGATTACAGGCGTGAGCCACTGCGCCCAGCCTGGTCTCCAACTTCTGAGCTCAAGCAATCCTCCCACCTCAGCCTCTCAAACAATGGTGGGATCACAGGCGTAAGTCACCATGCGGGGCCGCCATCTCCTTTTAACCTAGGAGTTAGAAAATAAAAATAAAGTAAAATAGAAGAAAAAAAAACCCTCACAAAACCTCAAGAAAATAGCATTCTATGGTTCTGCAGAAAAGCAAAAAACACTCCAATGTACTTCAAAGAACACGGCTTTAAAGTCTGTCCCAAACTATACTCTGGATAACATCCTCAAATGACAGAAAAAAAATAACATGCCAACCACAACCTTTACCTGAGCGTCCTGCGCCTCTCTCTCTGGAACCTGCAGGCACTGGGAGCGGAACACCTTCCAGCTTCGGGGTGAAGACAAAGGGCCGTGAGGGCTACACCCCTACTCCAGCCCGACGGCCCGCCCCAGCCCGCTGGAAAGGACACCCCAGGAGCAGCTCTGGGACTTCCCCGCCTACCTGCGCGCACCGCCGGTGCTGCAGCCGGGGCAGGCGCACGCGAACACGTGCAGCAGACGGTGAAACGGAGAGCCTTCCAGCGGGCAGTACACCTGCACAATCAGGGCGAGCGGCTGCCCGCAGCGCTGACACACGGGCCTGGGCGCAGCCACGGTGGGCAGAGCGTCCTGAGGGGACAGAGGAGGCGCTCAGACTCCAACTCTCCCCGGGACCTTGCCCACTCCCTCCGCACCCTTCGCCACCACCCATCGACCCCAGCTCCGGCACCCGCCCTCACCGGAATGCCGCCCAGCTTGCTAGCAGTCCAGGCGTCCGGCCCTGTGGGGCTGCCGTGCACCGGCGCATCTCGAAGTCCCAGCAGCACCGGCTTCAGAAAGGCCGCCATGGCTGCCTGGCGACCAGGTGAAAACGCGAACTACGGCAGCCGAGCGGGCGCGCGTGTCCGCGCACGCGCAACGCATACACTGACATGATAGCCCCGCCCCCTTACTAGGATCCGATGCGGAGGCGTGGCTTTAAGGCGCGTGCACTCAGGCCCAAGAGCCGCAGAGGCGCCGCTGGCATTTTGTGCCCCTTAATACGCTGTAATAGGAAGTACACACCATCTACTAGGAAGTAGTTTTGCCAAAAAGCTAACTTTTTTTTTTCCTTTTTTTGTTGAGACGAGCACTTGCTATATTGCCCACACTGATCTTGAACTCCTGGCTCCTGGGTTCAAGTGATCCTCCCGCCTCTGCCTCCCAAAGTGTTGTGATGACAGGTGTGAGCCACTGGGCCCAGGCTCCAAAAAGCCTTCCCGGGAAATAAAAATTTTAGGTGGGATAATGGTATTATCAATAACAAGAAGAACAATGAAGTTTTTAATTTTTAGAGAAACACACCAAAATGCTTACAGATGAAATATCTGGGATTTGCTACTACATAATTAAAGTGGGATGTAGATACAGTAAGATTGGCCATGAATTGATAATTGTTGAAATTTGGTGCCAGGCACATGGAGATTTATTCTATTTGGGTTTTATATGTTTGAGATTTTTCGGAGTTTTTATTTTTGTTGTTTTTGAGACAGAGTCTCGCTGGGTCGCCCAGGCTGGAGTGCAGTGGCGCCATCTCACTGCAACCTCTGCCTCCCAGGTTCAAGCGATTCTCCTGCCTCAGCCCCCCAAGTAGCTGGATTAGGATTACAGGTGCCCACCACCACGCCTGGCGCCCAGCTTTTTTTTTTTTTTTTGAGACGGAGTTTCTCTCTTGTTGCCCAGGCTGGAGTGCAGTGGCATGATCCCAGTTCACCGCAACCTCTGCCTCCAAGGTTCAAGCCCTTCTTCTGCCTTAGCCTCCCAAGTAGCTGAGATTACAGGCATGTGCCACCACGCCCGGCTAACTTTGTATTTTTAATAGAGACAGGGTTTCTCCATATTGATCAGGCTGTCTTCGAACTCCCAACCTCAGGTGATCTGCCCACCTTGGCCTCCCAAAGTATTCGTATTACAGGTGTGAGCCACTGCGCCCAGCCACACAATACAGTTTTTTAAATTCCTGCAGCACAACGTGGGTGAATTTCAAAAGCATCATGGGAAGAAGCCAGACACAAAAGGTGCCGTTCTGGTCAAAGCAGAACTTCAGGGGAAAAAAGATCAGTTCAATGGTAGTCAGGAATTGGGATGAGGGAGTAGGACTGGACCACAAGAGTGTCAGGAACTTTTGAGGGTGAGGAAAATGCTGTATATCTTGTCTGTAATGGTTATAAGACTGTATATACACTTGTGAAAACAGAACTGTATAGCAAAGAAAGGTGAATCTAGTAAGATTCATTGGGGTATAATATGTAAATTATATCCCAATAAACCTTTTTTTAAATGCAGGCTGCAAAAACATTATTTTAGGATTCATAACATGGTATGCAAAGGAAACGTATGTTTTCAAGGATCTACACCTCAAAGGAGGAAGCACCAGCCTTTGTGATGTTCGGCTTTAGCCCAGCAAGGACCTGGAGACGCAACCTGTTTAATCCTGTTTTATCACACTTCAACCTGACAGCTGTAAAAGGCCCTGTGATGCTGGGCACGGTGGCTTGCACCTGTAATCCCAACACTTTGGGAGGCCAAGGCAGGAGGATCACTTGAGCCCAGGAGTTCAAGATAAGCCTGGGCAACACAGTGGTGTCTCCAGGGCAGGGTCTTGACTACAGGTTGTCCAGGTTCTTGGAATGCTGAACAGAGAGGTGGACAAAACACACAAAAAAGCAACAAAAGAAGGAACAAAAGCACAGATTTATTGAAGCGAAAGTACACTCCACAAAGCAGGAGGAGGCTCAAGCAAGTGCCCTGTTTAGAAAATCTGGGGTTTAAGTACCCTTTAGAGGTTTCCTATTTGGTTACACCCTATGTAAATAAAGACTTGGCCTGCCACCAATCAGAGGCTGAAGTGAACGCTCCCTTGTCTCTAGACCCTATTCTCCTGTCTCAGTGAGACCCTATCACTACAAAAATTTATTTTCTATTTTTCTTATTTTTTTTTTTTTAAACAACAGTACACTGATCTACAAAAATTTAAAAATGAGCTGGGTGTACTGGCTGTCTCACGTGTCCGTGTGAAAAGACCCCCAAACAGGCTTTGTGTGAGCAACATGGCTGTTTATTTCACCTGGGTGCAGGCAGGCTGAGTCCATAAAGAGTCAGCAAAGGGTGGTGGATTATCATTAGTCCTTGTAAGTTTGGGGATAGGCAGTGGAGGTAGGAGCAACGTTTGCAGGCAGGGGGTGGATCACACAAAGTACATTCTCAAGGTGGGGGGAGAATTTCAAAGAACCTTCTTAAGGGTGGGGGAGATTACAAAGTACATTGATCGGTTAGGGTGGGGCAGAAACAAATTACAATGGTGGAATGTCATCAGTTAAGGCTATTTTCACTTCTTTTATGGATCTTCAGTTGCTTCAGGCCATCTGGTCACAAAGGATATGATGGCTTAGCTTGGGCTCAGAGGCCTTACACTGGCATGCATCTGTGGACCCAGCTACTTGGAAGGCTGAGGTGAGAAAACCACCTTAGCCTGGGAATTTGAGGCTTCAGTCAGCTATAACTGCATCACTGCAGTCCAGCCTGGGCAATGAAGACCGTGTCTCTAAGAAAAAAAATTCTGAATAGGCATGATAATCCCAACACTGTGGGAGGCTGAGGTGGGAGGTTCTCGAGCCCTGAAATTCAAGACCCGTCTCTACAAAAAATGAAAAAACTAGCAGGGCATGGTGGCACAACCTGTAGTCTCAACTACTTGGGCGGCTGAGGCAAGAGGGCTGCCTGAGCCCGAGTGGTTGGGGTTGCAGTGAGCTGTGATGGCACCGCTGCACTCCAGCCTGGGCAATGGAGCAAGACCCTGTCTAAAAAGTAAGTTGTTTAAAAAAAAAAAATAACGTATGCCTTTCACATAAAAAAAAAAAAGAAAAATTTGCCGGGGGTGCGGGCGCTGACCCCAGCTGGGAGGCTGGGCGGGATGCGACCAGCCTGCAGTGAGTGAATCCCCAGCACTCAGCTGGCACAGAGCAGACTCCGTCTAAAAAAAAAATGTGCGGGTGGTGGCTCACCTGTATCCAGCACTCGGAGGCTGACAAGAGTTCAAGACCAGCCTGCCCAACATGGTAAAACCCCTTCACTACTAAAAATACAAAAATTAGCTCGACGTGGTGGTGTGTCCCTGTAATCCCAGCTACTCAGGAGGCTGAGGCAGGAGAATAGCTTGAACCCGCCCGGGAGGCGGAGGTTGCAGTGAGCCGAGATTGCACCACTGCACTCCAGTCTGGGCAACAGAGCGACACTCAAAAAAAAAAAAAAATCCTATTTCCAATATCTATCTGCCTTTTAAAGGAAAAGAACTACCTGAGCATCTTGCCAGGAGATGGCAGTCACCCTTGGTCGTGTCCAGGAATTCACCCCAAACAAACATCATCTCAATGCCGTTTGTAGAACCACAGAGTGAACAGAGTATCCAATTTCTCCAGTCACAGAGGTGAGGAGTGGAAAACATTCTTAGGATTTGGTGACACAGGCCAAGTTGCCCTCTTGACTGATTGTGCTCCCACCCCACTACTGTCTTCTGAAAGCACCTGGCTCCACTCTAGACCCGCTCACCACTTAGTATTCAGTGTCCACGGAGGCACAGGCTGCGTCCTACCGAGCGCTCCTGCCTTCTGCTACATAAAGCACCATCGCAGGAAAAAAAATCAGAGGCTGAGCCTACAACCTCCTCTGTGGCATCTTTATTTTTCTACACGGGATGTGAACGTGAACATGGGTCAGAAAAGTCAGCTGCACAAAAACACTTCAGCCAGTTGTAACACAGAGGGAGCGAAGACATGGAGGGGCTGGGGGTAGCAATTTGAGATCAGCCCTCCCCACCAAGGGCTCGTGGTCCAAGCCCACAACCAGAGGGCGCTCTGGGTGGTGTCCAGGACCATGCAGTGCCGGCTCTGGGGAGCAGGGATAAGAGAAAGAGGAATCACAGAGGAGGCTGCGGCTGAGCATGAGTTTATTGGACTCTGGCCTCGCGCTGCTGCTTGATGAAGTTGATAAGCCCGTTGGTGGAAGCATCATGAGAGGTCACTTGAGCACTGCCATCAAGCTCAGGCTCAATTTTCTTAGCCAGCTGCTTTCCCAGCTCCACTCTGCCAAGAAAGGAAGGGAAGAGTGGTATGGGGAAGGCTCTAACGTTGCTACTGAAATCCCTGAGCCGACCCAAAGGTATTCCTGGCCCTCCCCTGAGTGAGCAACTCACCCCCACTGGTCAAAGCTGTTGATGTCCCAGATGATGCCCTGAACGAAGATCTTGTGCTCATACATGGCTGCAGAGGGGACAGACAGGGCACGTCAGGGCTCCGCAAGCCCATTCCAACCTACCCCAAGCCAGGACCTTTCCCCTACTCACTCACCGACCAAGGCTCCAAGCATAAATGGTGTGAGCTTGGTGAACACAATAGAGTTGGTTGGGCGATTTCCTTCAAAGACCTGCAGAAAACACCAAGGAATGTCGCCAAGTGAGTCCTGATCCCTCAACCCCTTGAAGGCAAGCACGCCCTGCCCCAGAGGCTGAGACGTACAGGTCTGTGAGGACAGGCCCTCCCACTCTGTAGGACAAGCCAGGCATGCCCCAAGCCCCTGCCTGGTGCCACAGCTTCACACCTCCAACTCCAGCATGCACCCCAAAGCCGAATGCAGAAGTGCTGACCTTATGTGGCAGCAGCCTCTCAAGGTCCTCTGGACTCTTGCCTGCAGCCTGGAGCTCCTTTCGGGCCTCCTCTGTTGATTTCCCCCTCATCAGGGCTTCCGTCTGGGCCAGGAAGTTGGCCAGGAGGATCTGATGAGCGAGACATCAGTTATGCTTGAGAGCACCGTCTGAGCTTCAGGCAGAGGGACAAGACTGCCTGGCACTTCTCAGCAGGGGTCAGTCCCAGCCTGGGTCACTCACTGTACAGCTCAGTTGGAGCGAAGGGAACACATCCAATGACACCACAAGGCAGGGAACAGTGATAACTGCTCTTTTAGAACTACACACCAGTGGCCAGGCACGGTGGCTCACGCCGGTAATCCCAGCACTTTGGGAGGCCGAGGTGGGTGGATCACGGGGTCAGGAGCTCGAGACCAGCCTGACCACATGGTGAAACCCCGTCTCTACTAAAAATACCAAAAAAAATTAGC